AATAAAGGCAACTGACTAACTAGCCGTACCATCATGGCTATACGTACGGAGTAGAGTAATAGGAAGAAACAAAACAAACGCCGAGCTGGACAGACATGGCACGACAAGAAAACAAAACCGATTCTGGCAATGGCCAATTCACCACGTAATTAGCCACTGCAGCGGAATACATTGACATGTCTAGTATCACCCGTTGCGCAGCAAGCAGCCAATTTTGAAATTTGGTTGTAACGAATAAATTTTTTGTCCAATCCTGTGTTGGTTGTGTATCTGAGCTGGCAGAAACTTGGGGCACGATATAAGGGCAATCGGGTGACTGACTCAGCAAATTTTCTCGGACGGCCCGCCATTCGAACGGCGAAAGGCTGCAAGCACCAGGTTCATTGTTGGTCGCCCGCATTTGCAGCCACGATCCAAGACGAGTTGCAAAACGATCAACGATCCCGCCAATCTTGCTCCCGCTCACACCCCGATACGCTGTCGCATGCATTCCTTGCTGTTTCAATCAACACCACTGGCATCATGGCCGAGTCAGCGTTAGCCGAGGCCAGCGCTTTCTCCATGGCGACAGGTATCCATCTATCTATCTATCTCCAGTCCGGCCGAAATGACGCGCGCATGATGCCAATGCGATGAGCGTCTTGCAAAGGAACGACGGCCAGAGAGAGAGCACAAGTATGCTAACCATGCTGTTCTTCAGGTATCAAGCAAGAACACGAACCGACTGGTCTAGAGGGCCTTGACTTCGCTTTGCCGCCAGAACTCGCCTCAAAACGACCCTTCGAGGAGGACATCGGCGCCACTACCGAAACACCAGAGGCCAAACGAGCAAAGACGGAGACCGAAACCGAAGAAGCTTCACTCGAAGATGGACTCGCACTATTAGTACAAAATGCGCTGTCAAATGTTGGCGACCTGGTTGACCAATTCACGAGCGGACATGAGACAGCCCCAGAACAGCCCGCATCAGATCCCATGGAGGTTGACACGACAATACCGCTGCCTGAACCTCCTGCTGTCCGGGCGACGTTTGTATCGGACCCCCGAAAGTTCATTCGCGACACCAATGTCCATGCGCTAGGGAACCTTGTAAGTCAATGCACTGCCCTCGGACCAACCTCTCGACTGACCGGCGCGTCGCCAGGCCTTGTCGCTCCTACTTGTTCTCGTACAATCACCCTTTGAGGATACAATCAAACTGGTTCGGGGATCCGAGGCACAGCATGAGAAGACATTTCGCGGGCTCAAGTGTTCTTTTGAGCATGTTCACGAAATGTATTCGCCTGGACCAGTGTTATCAGCCAACGAACTCGAATTTCGAGATTCTGACTCCCAAATTTTTATCGGACTGGCGAACCTTGCGCAACTGGGATTATGGCTAGTTGATGGAACTCCTAAAGCTCTCTCTAAAGCTGACGAAAACTTTCTCGCCATGTTCCAGTGCCAGCTGTCCGAACTGCCACCTGGAATGACGGAACTGTATTTGGGTATCAAAACGCAAAGAGCAATAGAGTTCCTCGTTGAGAAGGAGCCAGAAAAGCCGTCGGAGGAAGTTATTGGAGAGGTTTTGACCCACGGACTTGAGCATACCCTGAAGGAGCAGCATGGCGGAGGAGAGTTGACCTCTGCTGATCAGAACTTTGTGTCTTCAGTACAAACAAGGAAAGAAACGCTTCAAGGGGAGGTAAAGGAAGAGTCGGAGCCAGGTATGCATAAACTTGTATATGGCCGTTTACAAGTTGACCTGATTGGGCTAATTGGTTGTTTGCAGCGGCGTTGAGAGAGAAACACCCTGCCGAGGACCTGTTACGGAGCTTTTTGGAATACACCGCCGGCCGCCTCAAGTCGCTCACAGACATAGGCAATAAGTTGGGAATCACGATAGAGATCAGCGACAGCGAGCCACCACCAGAACCGATTCCGGACGCCACAGGAGATGCTGATATGGACTTGGACGACTTGTCATCGTTCTTTGAAAAGACGGCTTCTGGCCTTGTTCAGAATGCCCTGGCGGGATTGAAAGACGAGCCAACTACAACAGATCCAACAGAGGGAGGAGAAGAAGCTGCAGCCCAGACTGCAAGCACGGAGAACAAGTCAGAAGCCGCCTCGGCACAGACCAACGGCAAGATTGATCTCATGACGGACTACAAAGAACTCGAGGCTCTCGTTGCAGAAAGCACTTCCAACTACGTCAAGACTACGCTTCACGGACTCTCACCAATTCCCTACCAACCTACCGTCCCCACTAGTACCAGTCAGTTCTTCTTTACGTCGCGCCCTCTGATCTTGCTAACAGGTTAAATAGCTGAGAGCATGGCTGCTCAACCACCTTATCAGACACAAGTACAACATCATCAAGTACAACCTCCATATTACACCTACACTCAGCCACCCCCCGAGCCGCAGCAGCCTCCATTGCCTGGTGAGAACCTGCCGCCGAACCAGACGTTCCCTAGTTCCATACTATATGACAAGGCTCGCCAGGCGGCTCTCTCAAAGTCATCTGCGCACACTCGAAGAGAAGGCCTCCATTCAACGCGTCGGCCTTGGACCCAAGAAGAAGAAAAGGCACTCATGGCTGGCTTGGACATGGTTAAGGGACCCCATTGGAGCCAGATCCTGACGCTGTTCGGCCAAAACGGCACCATATCAGATATACTCAAAGATAGAACGCAGGTGCAGCTGAAGGATAAGGCAAGAAATCTCAAGCTCTTCTTCCTGAAAACTAATTCTGAAATGCCCTACTATCTACAAGCCGTTACGGGTGAACTCAAGACGCGTGCGCCAACCCAAGCTGCGAGAAAGGAAGCCGAGGAGAGGGCCAGGCTCAACTCTGAAGAAGACCAAGCAAAGCTTCAGGGGATCATGGCTCTGGCAGGCGGTCTACAACACCCGCCGCAAGGTCGAACACCGGCCAGCCCTGTCAATGCTGTTGGATCTGGAGTTGTGACACCGGCACAGGCAGCTCAAGCAGCTTCGTCCGCACAACATCATGCCGGGCATCAAGCCAATGCGGCTGGCCAAGGGGCCCAAGCGACGTCAGTGCCAAGGCCGACGGCGACGCCGGCTTCTCAAACTCGTCCAGGTGGCCAGGCGAACACGCAGCCATCATCACACTCTGTTGCTCAAGCCAACGGCCGATCCCAGGCACAACTGCCGCCTCAAGTTCCCAGGCCACAGGGGCAACCACAACACCAGCAGGGGCATCAATCTCAGCCTCAGCAGACACAGCCAGCACAACAAGCAGAGCAAGCACAGCAAGCACAGCAACCGACACGAACACCCGCCATGCCGCAGCCAACACCAAACACACTAGCACAAGCACAACCGCAGCCGGCTGCCGCCCAGCAGCATCATGCTGCCACAACACAGCCCGCGACAACCTCTATCCCGACAAGTACGCCTCTGGCTGCCGCTCGGCCTCAACCCATAACCTCGCCTGCACGTGCCCATTCACCGCAAGTATCTCCACCAGCTGCTCAACCTGTACCGCAAACCCAGCCTGCCCCGACTCCCTCACCAGCACCTCAACAACACCCGGGCCCGCCCCCGGAAGCCCCAAAACCCGACTCCCCAACACAACAAGAACAAGACGACAACGCAGCGGAAGCAGCTCTCCTTGAAGGTCTGCAAGCTGTTGTGGCACAAAGCCTAGCATCATGAGACCCATACGAAGGAGGGGGAGTCACACCCGACGTGTGACAAAGGCCGCGGCCATGATGCCCTGGTTTGGACGGCTTTAGTGTATGAATGAAGAATCTTTTTATTGGGACGACTTATGATAAACCAGCTACGCGAGCTGATCACATGTAGATCACATGTAGCTTTTTTAGGCACTCGGCGCAAAGGGGGGGATCACTCAAAGGGTACACGACATTTCGTGATGGTACACCTTTTTTGATTTATTTTTTTTGCATGTTTATAGAATCGGAGGCGTGTGCCATGTCTCTCTCTGTTTCAATGATACCAAGGTACGGGGAAGAGGAGAAGGAGTAGGAACAGGATAGTTACTAGGCGTCAAGGGTCATATGGCTGTCAAATTCACAATATGAGCCTGAACAAAATAAAAATCGTGGGCTCTGAAAATTCAGGGCCACGGGGTTTTGTCAGGAAAGGGGGAAAACACGTGGCGAGTATGTGCCTTGTACGAGGGCATCGACTCTGTTTACGAACGGTTCGCACCGGTGCGAGCTTTAGTCGAGGATGGTGATGGGCAGGGCAACTTCTCACGGCGTTGATTCATGTATCTTCCCTGGATTTTGGCCCGTGATGTGTTGGACGGGTAGGCGCGTGCGGTTGTCAGTTGAGGACTCATGTATCTAGCCTGGTCGCAAAAACACGGCCGCAACTGATGTCATTCCCCGTCTCATCTCGACGACCCTATACAACTGCTCTCCAAATGCTTTGACCGTCTTTAAATACCAGTTGACCCTTTACTGCTTCGTAGAGAGCTTATCAAGCTCATCGCCCAAAAATACATTGCTGTGCTTGACAACCACAACCCATTCTACTAACTCGAATTTACAAAAACGAGAACAGGCGTCAAAAGAAGTGCTTCTAACAAACACACTCTGCAAAACGATCAAAAAAAGAACCGCGTGGTTTCGCCCGGGCTCGAACCGGGGACCTTCTCGGTGTTAGCGAGAAATCATGACCAACTAGACCACGAAACCCGTGATGTGCTAACCCACCGCAATATGCAGTACATGTACCTTCGGAACAATGGCGGCTGCGCAGCCAGCGTGCCCTGGTGTCCCGCGAACAACGGCACCTGCGGCCAAGACTTGTGGATTCTCGAGATCAAGGACGCCGGCGTCGTTGAGAGTCTGTACTGCAAGCAGCACTCTTGTCGGCGCGTGGACGATGGTTCCCTATGCGGGAAGCCAAAAGGGCGCGAGGGCAAATACTGCCTACACCGTATGTTGAACTGTATCCAAAATTCCCACTTCCCACTTCCCATCTCGCCCTTCGTCTTGATCTTCAAGACATGCTTGTGCTCAAGTGCTGACGGGCGTGCAGATATCCAATGCGCAGGATCCGTCGGCCAAGAGCGCTGCCCAAACCACGTGCAGGACTACAATGCCAGCAGATACAAATACTGCAAAGAGTATCGTAAGACACACACACACACACACACAAACACATGTATACATATACCGCCCACTAGCCCAGAGACACTAAGACGTCCCGCATCACAGACGCCTGCGTAGAGCCGAGATGCCAGAACGCACGGGTCCGCCAGGGCGAACAAGACCTGCGGTACTGCCACGCGCATCGCTGCCAGACCGAGGGATGCGCAAACCGCCACGGCACCGCTCACACGTGTGTCGTCGTCCCCGAGGCGGCGCAGGATCACCCCCGAGACGCTGCCTGCCACCACATCCAGTGCCCTGGTAAGAGGCGGTGCTCGGTAGACGAGTGCGCGAGCCCGCGCCGCCCTCTGCAAGACGGCGGCTTGGCGGAATACTGCCCCATGCACTGCTGCCAAGTCGGCTGCTGCGACGAGAGGACCGCCGCGGGAGGGTTCTGCGCCGTCCACGTCTGCGGCGAGCCGGGCTGTGATGGGGGCCGTCGCGGGGAGGGCGTCTTTTGCGAGCGGCACGCCTGGCGCCCGGGGGCTTGTGACGGCCGTCATGGGAAACATATGTGTAGGGAGGATGTTTTGCCGAGTCGGTGCTGCGACTCACGCGGCGGGTGCTTGAGGGGGCGAGACGCGTGGAATGGTGTTTCTGGGCAGAACTGCGGAGAGCGTAAGCCCCCCCCCTTCTGTCTGTTCAATGTTTCTTTATATATGAGGACGGTGGGAGTGGTTTGAGGGTGAGTTTGTGCGCTGACGAGCTTGGTTTTAGTAGGATTGGGCCGGGGCACGGCAGGCGTACAAGAGCCTGTTGCTGCTGCTGGGCCGGGAACGCGTTGGTGCGCCGGCCATCTCTGTCACAGCCGGTCCTGTGCCGACTCTCGTGAGAGACTGTATGATTATTGTGCGTAGGATAGGTGCTGCAGGGCCGACTGTTGTAGGTCACCGAGGAAGATGTGGTCTGATATAGGCGGGATGCGGGGGAGGGGACTGTGTGATGTTTTTGTGATTTATATCGGCTGTGAGTATTAGAGGGCGCGTCTGAATCCTGTATTCTGGAGGGAGGTCATGTGCTGGCGGTATTAGCTGAATGTTGGGAGACTTGGTGCTTCGAACGGACAAGGTTGAGATGTTGGATGTTGCAGTCGGAACTGAGATGGGATGGGTGATGGCGGCAACAAGGAAACGTGTATCGTTAGGAATTCGAGTGTGTATTGATAAAATGACACGTATGAAACCGTATGCATTGCACCATCAATATGGTGTCATTTCCGCTCAAATCAAACGCCAACTGCAACAAGAAGAAAGAACCTCGCTGCCAAATGCACCCAAACTTTTAGCCAAATCCCCATACAATTAGACCTCCTCTGTCTTGTTCCCCTCCTTCACACTCTGCCTTCTCTCCTTGCCTGCCCTCATCCTCTCCAGCCTCGCTCTCTGCGCATCCGCTCTCCTTTGCATCTCCTCCTTCTGCTCCCGCAACGCAATGCAAAACTTTGACCTGGCCCGAATACTTGGTCCTTTCCAGATGAAAATAAACGGAATCACACACATCACGGCGCTTAACCCCCCAATCAGCGAGCACGCCCCCGCAATCCCCAGCTCTCGAAACATGTGTGTCGTTGCGAGCGGCAGAACGACAGCGAGGATGGACCGGCAGCACGAAGCAGCTGCGTTAGCGGACGCGGCGAAAATCTCATACGAATCCGTCAAGTAATTTAGCAGCGCCATGAAGATGAGCATGTATCCCATTCCGAACGGGATGCCCGCAAGCATAGGCACCACAAAGGGGATTGATATCTTTGCGCTGAAGCCTAACCAGAAGAGAGATATGACGAAGAGAGGGCCGCCCATGCACGCAAGCGGCAGGCGCCGTGACTCTTCGCGTTTCGACCACCACGAACCACGAACTTGGGCCTTGACAAGAGCAACGTCCCAGTACCAGAAGACGGGGAGGGAGACCATGCCACCTGCTCCAATTAGGAGATACGTCAGACCAGTCTCTCCCGGATTGAGGCCATACAAGTCGTGGAAGATGATGGGGAAAGCCTGGAAGGACATGTAGAAGATGGCGTAGACGAGAGCCAGGTATGCGCATGTGGCTGTAACAATGAGCTCAGAGGCCAGCATGCGAATCGGTCGGGTAATGACCACGGTTAGGAGCTGACTGAGGCTCGTTTCCTCGAGCTCTCGGGGTGCGATGACGCGCTGGGCGGGATCCTGTTTGCGCATCCTTTGGGCCCGTCGTGCCAGGAGGATAGGGCCAAACGTCTCTGGGAGCCAGGCTATGATGAGGAGCGTGAAGCCGGCGAACATGAGATCAATCCAGAACGCCCACCGCCATCCGATGGTCATGGATGTGTAGCCTGAAATGATGGGAGAGAACAAGGGTCCCCAGAGGGTAGCCTAAGTCGTCACGATGAGTACATTGTTTTCCTTGGGTAACTACTCAAACAAAGTAGAGCAGCAGAGGAAAAATGGAAGCGCAATCTCCGAGGAATACTCACCACCATGAAGACAGCATACGCCCTCCCCCTAGTCCTGTGATCGCCAAAAACATCGGCCAATATGCCGGCCACAATGGCAATTGGTGCTCCCGCGCATGCACCGCAGATCATCCTAAACACAAGAAAGCTCCCCCAACTCGGTGCCAGGCCACAGGCCATCGTGAATAGTGTAAAGACTACAAACGTCACGACGGTGAGGTTTCTTCGTCCATAATGTTCCGTCAGGGGGCCCCAGATGAGCGGGCCAAATATGTACCCAATCAGGAAAACACTAATTGGTAGAACATTTTCCGTGGCATCGCTTATGCCGTAGTCTGCGGTGATGTTGGGGATGGCCATGCTGGGGAGGGCAGAGGACAGGGTGGAGTTGAGGACGAGCATCACACATACCAGGACGACAAAAGTTTTACGAGACTGGCGTAGAGGTCAGATTGATCTTGAGGATCCTGGAGGGGTTGTGGGTTGGTGAGACGAGAAAAACTGTACCGTTGACCAGTTGTGAGGATTATCCGGATCATCGACTTCCCAGCTGATGATGATGTGGTCGGTGTGACTGCGTGTCCTGGAGCGGATACCGGAGAGGATGCCGTCGCCGTAATCCATTGCCTCAATGGCATACTGGTCTTGGGCATCTTGTTCGTTTAGACTCTGTATTTGGCCAAGCGGGTGCCCTTCTATTTCTCTTCCATCTAAGAAAAAGTTAATCCTCACGGGTTAAGAGGAGCCAAAGAGGACTCGACTTACGCTCATCTTGTCCAACATCTGTGTTGTTTGTCTCTGTAGGGCCTGTGAGCACCATGATGGACTGGTGAAAGGGTCATCTAATACAACAGTTCACCACGACAATTGAAACGTTAATGAAAACAGATTATATTAAGTCAAAGTCAAGACTCAAGTCGCTTTGTGTTCAAGTTGGCTAGCAACGTGGACAGGGGAACATGACAAGCCGAGCCGAGCAACGTTGGCAGAGAGCAGTGAAGGAGAAGCGAATCTAGCAGACCCTCTTAAACAAAGCCTACTTCGGGAAATGGGGAGGAATTTAAGTACTAATCGCACAGGCATGGAGAAAAAGCTCGGCAACTGTGTGAGGCATGGGTGCCGTTTCCACTGCCAAACGGCGACGCGTGGGGCCGAAGCTGAATCGCCAAACTCGAGGCATGATTAAATACAACCTTAAAGGGGCCAGCCTGCTCGGGCTGCACTTCCAGTTGCAATCGAGTTGTTGTCCGCGGCCGTCAACCCTTGCTTTGGCGCCGTCTAAACCCCCCGAAGCCGGAGTATTGGTGGGAATAAGTCGTCATGCCCGGTCCTAGCCCGTCCCGCTTTCACCGAAAATACAACATGCTTGCGCCACTTGCGCCCTTGGTAAAGACGCCCTTGTTTCGGCGGGAGGGATAACAAAACCTACACACCAATTGGCCGTGGCCGGTACGTTTCCTGTCGTCTCTTGACAACCTCCTTGGGCCCCTCTCTGGGGTTGATGATGCCCATTGGATGCCCAGTAACCGCGGTTAATCTCGGCTCAGATTGTACCGAGTTCGCTTCAGTAGTAGTAGCGGTCACGGATTCTTTGTTCGACACTCAAAGTAGTATTTGGGCGTTGTTGTTATCCTGTTCCAGAACGGTGCTGAACAATAACCCATGGCATTTTGCTCTGGCTTGGTGCAACACAAGGATTTCAGCTTTAAGCTCTCTCGCGCCCTTCCGTAACAGGCCCGTCTTTGCAAGTCCTCCATATCGCCGCAACCGCAGGGAATGCAAAGTAGTAGTACGTTCCTCGGAAATGATACACCGCATCCCGAGGATTTGTCATCAGAATAACTAGTACTCGAGCTGTATTGGCTATGCAGGCAATGTATCCGAAACCGCACAGTCTACAGACGGCGTGGTCCCCATCAAGTCCGATTTGACATCTGCCGAGCCTGGTAACGATGCCGCTAGTGGCGGCGCCTTGCTCATTGATCTCTTTGGCTCCGACAAGCCTGCTAGGGTACTAGTATGTATCTGATCTTGTTGATCTTCCAGGTGGCACAAGGTTATGGTCCGGGTCACCCTGTCCTGCGGAGCAAACTGCGCCAAGTTCTCGGCGTTTCTCCCGAAATTATGAGCAAAGAAAACAGGCCAGGCTGCCAGAGGATCTTCCAGAACGGGCTGCCAGGGGAGTGGAGTTTCGATGGACACATTGACAAAGTCCTCAAACATGGGAGCTGTCCTTCGATAACGAAGCCTGAGGACACAGTCACTCGATATCGGGAAGCTGACTTGCGGAGAGTCTGGTGGGAACATAGGTGACTGGGCGGTCTCTCCGTTCTTGTCATTCTGGGGGTTTTGCTTGTCACTGCCGTCATATTCCCACACAGTCACTCCAACGCGAAAGCTGATCTTATAAAGGTAGCTTCCATATGGCCCTACACGGTCAAAACGAATTGCAAAAGAAGAATGCTCGGCCGATCGGGCATGTCGAAAGAAGAGCACAAGTGGAGTGACCACCCCAATCGCCTTCTTTATACTAGAACCAACAAGGTTCATATCCACATATGACATTATCTTTCCTTGGAAAGGCGTAAAATTGGCAGGTCGGCTGTGTGAAATCATATACCCCGAGCCGGGTATGGTTTTGACAACTGCTCCATTGCCGCCATAGTAAGAACCCCGGAGGCTGTCTCTGTTACCCTTTGATACATGTTGTTTTGCTCGAGCACGGATATGCATGGTCTGATTCGACTTTTTATTCTCAGTGACAAGAGCTCTGAGCCATGGGAAATGGTGGCTGCCGATCCTCTCGTATTTGCCGTCAGATTTCTTCTCCATCAAAATGACAATGTGACCTTCTTCATCTGTACATCGGAGAACAGCTATGTGGACATGGCCCCAAGGAATCTGCTGTGGCCAGGACTTGATAACGTCTGCCATGGAAATCACCGCGCCATCTGGGTCTGACTGGGCTGCTGTAGGAACAACGAAAGAGACGGGTATAAGTTGCTTTTCGCTTTCCACTTTCACCTCCCGACACAATTGCATGGTTGCCGCAACCAATCGAACGAACTGTTTTTCGATATCGAACGATATATCGTGATCCGTATGAAGGTACGTGTCTACAATGGCAGAACACTTGGCAAAAGCTCGGGGAGACGTTGCCAACATTCCGAGTGGCCTCGCGTCTTGTTCGTAGAGAGAAAATGTAAATGGCCCCTCAGGCTCGCACGTCTAGGCAAAAATTGACTGATCATCCGAAGACTTGATAATTTCCAATTGCAGCCTATAAAAGGCGTTTCGTCCCTCGCCGTAAATGAGAGGCATATTCACGTTGAATAATCCCATCAGACAGTATGCCTCATCCTCCACCCTTGTTGTACGTCTGTTTGCAGCCCAAGACATGATGGCTGCTATGCTAACGTCATCCCAAACACAGGTTGACAGTACCTGTTGATCAATTCGAGTAATTTCTGTAATGATGGGGGCCAAATCAGACTTTGCACCAAGTTCACGCCAGTCCATCGCGAGAAATGCTACCTCGAAAGGTGCGAGCAACTCCTGGAGTGTCCAACCGCGCGTAAACCACTTGCTTGACCGGAACGCAGACTGTGGTCCTGCCGGGGCCTCGTCGCTTGTGACATCGAACAAGTAAGCGTAGCAAGCCGCAGCGTTTCTGTACCAGTTGAACATGGAGTTGATGGCCTCGGAAAGCTCTGCGCTGGAAGACTTGTCGATGCAACAGGTATCGATCCATACCCAACTGTGGCCGTCAGATTTCGCCTTGTCGCAAAAGCCAAGGATTTTCTGAAGCCCTTTCAGCGAAGCTGGCGTCGAGGGGTATACGTTTTCGGTCATTTCTTGGAAGGAAATCTCGTCGTCGCCCCAGATGTGGGAGAGAATAGCATAACCGGGCACGCCATGACCAGGCTCGCCAACAAAATATTTAAGCTTGAGGCTATCAACATTTAGGAGACGCATATCTCGCGATTGCACTTTGACCTTGATTTGCAGCTTGGTGAGATAATGTTTCGGGGACCTCCTGTCTCCCACGGTGTATTCTTATATGACGGTTTCGAGCATGCAGTAAAATTATTGGGCTGAGCTGAGCTGAGCTGTATCTGGAGCCGCCACCTGAGGCTACTGGGCCAGCTGATTAGCCACATGATCAGATAACAAGCAGCACGGCTGCACGCATTGATGTGTTCAGAACAACAGGCGAGGCTTGTACGTACGGTTGGCCAGGACAGTGACGAGCCCGCCGATGTGGTACGAGGTTTCATCATCAGATGGGAAACCTCATCGCTCAGCATTGAGTCAACCGGGCGCCAGCCTGTCATCGAGTACTTGGGTATACGATGACATACTCCAGCTCCCATTCTCGACTTCTTCTGTTTAGCCATGACAGAAGAGCCGCAATTGATTGTGGTGCCATCTGGATGCTCAAGATCTTGGCCTCCTTATAGTGACACATTGACAACTTCGGAGCGAAAACTCCAGACTTGCAAAGCTCAAGAGAACCAAACGTTGCACTGTGGGATGTTTAGCATGTTTCTCCTGCGCAATGACTTGGTCAATTTCAGAATACTCAACAACTGCAGCCCTCCGCCGCAAAAGTAAGGATTCGTAGAACAGAATTTTATTGCAAGAGAGGTTCTGGTTTTCTGCAGCCTGGGTGGCGTGAAGCGAATTGTACTCCGCAGGGGTCTCTCCCTTTTTGGAAGGTACGGCCTGACCATCTCCCACCAAAACGTCAATTTGCCCCCTGTCATCCGTACCCCAGCCCTACGGTACTACGTACTCCGTACACCACTGTACCTTATTAACATCATCTGGACTTGATCTCGGGATTCCATTCAGGCGTCAAAACACCCCATACTCTGGATGCATGATTCAAGGCTGACTTCTTCAAGAGTATACCCAGCACACTTGACGACATGCCTGTGCAAAATTGCCTGGCAAATGCATTGTTCGCTGGTTGCTTCAGGTTGGATAATCAATCTTCTATGCCGTGAGCTTCCTATATCTTCTCACCACCAGCATCAAATAAGCCTGTCCAGCAGGGGCTTAACCCCTGATTCTCTCTAGGCTCTCTTTCCTTGATTACTCTTGCGGCAGATTCATAGAGCAAGGTACGGAGTACTCAGTAGTATTATGCAGCATTATATTAAAAAAAAATAAGTGTCTCAGTTTCCGACCTTGTCGTTTATCCGTATGGCCCGGTCTCACAACCCAACATCCAGGCACAGCCAACGCAATTAAAGATAGGCACAAAGACGGGGATAGTGCGGCACAGGGCACCAAGACCCCAACATGCAGCCCTTTTCACGTCCCGCAGATAGTAGTATCGGGAATTAAGATTGGTTCCTGTCGGCTGAAGACAGCAATACCAACACCCGCTTACTTCTGGAACATTTTGCTTACACGAGGCGTCAACCGAAGCCAATCGCTCGGGAGCTGTCCAATTAGGCTCTTGTGACAAGGCCGAAGATGCGCACAGGTCAGGCAGGTCCTGTAGGTCTTGTATGTTCTGTAGCCTACAACATTGCGGTGCTCTACATTACGATACGACTGTTGTTTTCCCTTGACCAGTCATTTCGTCCAAGTCACCATCAGCCTTTGTTTCACTCCTATCCTCCAAGTGCCGCCCACAAACCCGCAAAGCATTATGTCTACCCAAGTCCCCCTATCCCTCATTTTCACGAGTTTTGCCAACTTCTCATCATCCCACTAGTAGTTTCAGCATGAAAGCCGCAACCGTGGTCGTGGTCGCGGTGGCGGCTGGCATCGCCTTGGTGCAAAGCCACTTCCAGATGGCTCCCTGTGCCCGGTCTTGTATCCAAAAGGCACTGCCTAACGTTGGGTGCACGGGGAATGATAAGGATATTGCCTTTTGTCTATGCCGGCCTCGCACCAAGTCCAAACTCGTCGATCCCGTTGCTCAGTGTGCTAACCAAAGCGCATGCTCTGCCGCCGACCTCCTCAGGGCTCAGTCTATTATTGACTGGCGCTGCCAGAATGTACATCCCGCATCGTTTTCCGAGGCCACCTTTGACGCGCCCGAATCTGCAAGCTGGCGGCAAACAACACAGACACCACCACAGCCCGTCCCATCCAGCAGTTCGAAAAGCACTCCGGCGAGCACGCCAACCGAGAGTTCAACTGCAACATCGACAGCCTCTGGAAGCTCAGGGGTTTCCACAGGTCTCGTGCTAGCCATCACCTCTGCGATTGTAGCTGCCCTCGGCTCTCTCGTGGGAGCATTCTGGTGCTATCGTCGACGCCACCGACGCCGCGCATCTTCAGGCCAAGTCCGTAATGGACCGTCGGAGGAAGAGAAAGATGGCCATCCTACACGGTCTGGGCATAATGAGCTGTTAGGTATGCTCTTCTCTCACGCATTTCTTCTGCACCGCCCGAACGAGAAACGTCTAATATAGTTTGGATTAGGTTCGACAGAGATGGCCCACGAGATGGATTTATACGTGCCACGGCAACCTGCGCCTGCTGGGTTGAGTAGACAAGTTTACGAAATAGATTCGACTCCCCTCCGAATGGTGCCGGGGAGCTCAGCACCAAAGGCAGGCCAAACTGTGTCCAATGCAGCTCCTCCTGGCTCACCTCGAGGTCCCCCACAAGCAGACGGAATGAAGAGCCAGACTCTAGGTGATATGCGGACAGTAGCGAAAGAAAATGGGGATCAAGATACTCCCGGACTTGGGGAGCTCCAGAAGAGGCGTATAGTATTGGCAGAGGAGCGGCGGTACCTGCAACGAGTACATGAGATAGAGTGCGAGGACAAGAGACTTGAACAGCAGATCAGTGACCTCACACAGCAACAGCCCAGCTCTCCCTTGGAAAAGTAGTAAAATATTCATGCTTTGGCCATATTAAGGAAGGATATCGGTGAGCCCGTTAGGAAGAACATGTAGCTTAACAATTCGGCATTTTTGTTCGGATATGACGTACCGCGCCTATATCAGTCTGTGTTGACGGAGTGAAGGATTCATCCTCTGGCACAGTTGTCCTCGATTGTCAGGCCATATCCGTGGTTCTCGCGTGTCGTGGCGTCAGTGTCAAACATGCGACATAGTTCGTAGCCTTGTTCCAGGAATGGCATCATGAAATTGTACCGAAGCCGTCGGATCTCTCTTCATGTTGACCTACTGGTTTGAAATTTTGCCCGTCGCCGCAACCTCAAATATCTGCTGTGAGATGTACAGAGCATTGAAATACTCAAGTTGCTGAAGAAAATGAACCGTTCACGCGTCAATGTGTTCCAAGTGGCTGGTACCGCAACTTGGCCAGACGGATCAAGCCAGGCTATCAAATTCGGCGTCGTCTATCCCCTCTTATTATCGGACGGTCCGTTGCAGACATGACAATCTCGATGGGAATAGTATCCAAAAGTCGTTTCAAAGACTTGTAATTAGCGTCTGGTGTTTCCTCTGTTTCACGGTCTGGAACATTTGGGGGTGGGGCTTGCATTTAATTTGCTTCAATGTTGTCCTACCATCAACAAGCCCCCGCCCCCAAACCCCTCTTCTCACCTAATCTTGTTTCCTGTTGGGAGAGAATTGATGATCCTCAATTCTAACTAACGAAGTCATTTACGTAGCCCGCTTTAAAGGGGCCTCAATCTCGGCTGTGTTGACCGAGTGAGGCTGGATCGCGTGACTCCACGCCTTATAACATTTCCCGCCTCCAATTCCATGCTAAGGGCAAGAAAGTATCAAACGACAGACGGTAAATCCGGACCGACTCACAGATACTGACCACCATGTTCGACTCCTTTGACCAAGCAAGCCTTGATTTAATAATTGAGCTTCAACTACAAGATGCCCAGAACTTAATCAAGGGAAAGCATAGGGCAGGAGAGACCCCCGATGGAGAGCTGGCAGCTGAGCTGTTCAAGCTCGAGCTCGAGTCCCTCGCCTCGTTCCATGTAGACCAAGCCATGAGTCGCAGTCTTGCTCATGCCATCCTGACAGATGGTGAGGCCATCCAGAGCCTTGTCGAGGAGGAGGAGCAGGCCGTACGCGACCGTGAGCTTGCAATCAATGGCGAAGCTTCGACGCAGGGGCCGGGAACCGCGGACCCTGACACAGCTATTGAGGACGATATGGTCAAGAAGCTTGTGGCCTTGTATGTCGGCGAAGATGACCATTCCGGAACCGCTGCAGCATCCTCATCCAAACAGGCAGCCCGGCCTAGCACTTCGACAGCGGCTATCGAGAAACGACGTTGCGTGGCTTGCATGACGGATGTTCCATACTTTGAGACGGTACGATGCCCGTGCACACATGAATACTGTCGTGCGTGCATAGCCGATTTGTTCCAGTCGGCATTGAACGACGAGTCCCTATTCCCTCCCCGATGTTGCAGCCAGCCCATACCTCTCGGCCTTAATCAGATTTTCCTCCCAGCAAGATTAGCGGGACAGTATCAGGCCAAGGAGCTGGAGTATTCCACCAAGAACAGAACGTATTGCCACAGAGCTACCTGTTCTACATTTATTCCGACGCCATTCATCCGGGGAGAAATTGCAACTTGCGTCAAGTGCCAAAGTAAGACTTGCACTATCTGCAAGGGCTCATCTCATGACGGGGACTGTCCTGAAGATGTGGCGACGATGGACCTGCTCAATGTCGCGGCGCAGAAAGGCTGGCAGAGATGTTACTCATGCCGCAGAATGGTCGACCTGGAAGTTGGCTGCAACCATATAAGTGAGCTTATTCGCCGAGATCCGTCATTTGTCAAAACCGACTAACACTACCCCAGCTTGTCGATGTGGTGCTCAATTTTGCTATGTTTGCGGAGTGAAGTGGAAGAACTGCAGCTGCGACCAGTGGGATGAAAATAGATTGGTCGATCGAGCCAATGCCATCGTTGACCGTGATGCGGATCTACTTCATATCGAGGGGGTTAACCGTGCTGCCCTTGTAGAACGAGAACGGAATAATCTGGTCGTAAACCATGACTGCTGGAATCATCGCTGGAAGTCTCGCAGGGGATTTTTTCAGTGCGAAGAGTGTTTCGATTGTATGCCGGAGTTTATATATGAATGCCGCGATTGTCGACTTCTGGCATGTCGGCGGTGCAGATATAACCGGCTATGAAGGGAAGCATATAAGGAAGCCGGTTCGTGATGGCGTTTCACCATTGCAAGAGAGACCGAGGAACCTTAGCAGCAGATCAGAAACAGCTCATCTGCACATCTGTACGGGCCTGGAAGAGATGTTTCTTAGAGTCAATAGCCTCCAATTGTTACTGCAGTGTACTTACCCAATCGTTTGGCACACCCAATGCTTCCATGTCCCTGGCTCTGCGCATAACGTGCGCCTCGCACATATTGACGTATTTCTCTTGCATGATGAGCCACGTATCAATCCGTGGCTTGTCGAGGCGACGAGTAAGTTTGACTTGCTACGTGCATATGCAGTCGCCCGCCCAAAGTTTGCGAGTGAAGAAACGCAGCAGCGTAGATCGCACCAGAAACTCTCGCGGTATAAATCCTGAAGGGGTTTAGCCGACGGGCCCAGCGTCTGTGTGCAATTAAAAACCACCTGAAAGACCAGAAAGGACGCTTGTACATTCTGGGCATTATACAACGAAATGATTGGATCCCTTCTGCCTCTGTGATTCGTCTACTCGGCTCACGGCAACAGATGGCACATGGTGGCATATTGACTGACACTAACAATGTGTCAGCTCGGTACAACTTTCTGAATTGGGACTGAGTTTTGGCCGGGACATGGAAGTAAGTGGCAAGTGGTGGCTGTTAACGACGGACTGACGGACCCGACTTATATATCTATAATGTGACTGTCTCCGGATTATGAATTTATGATCTGTAGAATAGAATTCGAATCTCGGTATAAAAGCAAACCCTCCTGGATGGACTTTGTATGAGATCTTGAGAAGTGAACCCAAAAAAAAAAAAAGGCTGTCCAGCCTTCTAGCTACAAACCCCAACGACCATTGGTTTGGCTATAACGAACTTTGCGCCGCGAGAATGGTCAATCCACATCTTTCGCTGGGCATTGCTCAAGCAGTCTTTTATTTGCCAATGCTCCCCTTGACCATCTGGTTGATGATCCGAAATGGCAAAATCCGACCACGAATGGCCTGGTGGCCTCTTATTCCTTTTACTCTCAGTAGGCTCGAACTCCATGCACTAAGACCTAACAACCAGAATTGGAACTAACGACACTTCAAAGTGCGACTCGCGGGCGGCCCTGTCATTATAGCCATGGTAGCAAACATGGAACAACATAACCGCGAACCAGATATAGGTCTTGCAATTGCAGCCACCATTCTGCTCAATGTTGGCGTAATTCCTCTAATAGTTGCCGACCTAGGTCTCACAAGAATCATGTATGCTTACTGCTTTACACCCCGGTTCTTTGATCCGAGCAGGTCAGCAGGCTAATGTCCCCATTCACACAGCCTGATGGACAACTTTGGAGATGGCCCGTTTACGCACCGCATCATGGTCGGCCTTCGACTTACCTTTGTCGCCGCCATCGCACTCCTTGGTGCGGGCGGTGGCATCGGTTCACAACCTGATCCAGATCTCGTCCACACCGGGCACAACCTCGTACTCGCCGGCTACATCGTTTTCGCCGCTGAGCTTGTGGCCCTCACCCTAATGCAGGTCTACTACCATGCTCGTAAATCCAGCCTTCGACCAAGCGGGCATCAGGTACACACGAAAATACTGCCACAGAGATCACACCGCGCACCTTGGCTAATCGTTCACGCAGGTTCTTCGCGGCGCCCTTCTCGCCAGCCCCTTCATCATGGTACGTACCGTCTATGGTCTCATCGAGTCTGCCCACGCTCAAGAGACGGAGACTCTTTGGAATCCCGTGTTTGGCTACCCCGCCGCTTCTTCGACCGTCTTGTTTGCCTTGATGGCGTTGGTCATGGAATACATCGCGCTCCTCATCTTCCTGTGGTCTGGCTTCTCAATTGCACCGGATCGTGGGCTGGGTGGAAGCAGAGATGCGCGGCCAGTCCCAAAACCATGAGATAGGATTGATGATGAGATTGCAAAAATAATATGCTGGTTGCGTGTTGGTTGGTACGGTACGGTACGGTACTTGTGAGGAAGTATTTATAGAGAAAGCATTGAACAGTGTCTGATTCAATTTCGCGTCCCGCCTGGGGTAATCTGGCCATTTATGTCCAGCTGCTCGCCTACTTTGACAAAATCATCCTGAGACATATGTACCGTTGACCTTTGTTGGTATTTGATGCAGGAGCAGCATAAAGCGCATCGTCAAACGCCACATAACAAAGGCTAAGGCCGTGCCACTTGGAACAATGCGCGACAACCGATGGCCCTGATCTCTTTTTTTGCATTTAAATAGATACCCCGTTGTAACCAAAAGTCTTGGGACAATCGGACGCTCTCGCCGTTTCACATTCAGGGACCGTCGTTGACGCGACTTATCTCATAACGAAGTTCGCACCAAGCGAACGGTGCGCAAGCGATGGGCTCCGTCCATGTCATGAGCCGGACGGACTGAAAGGCAGAAGAACGCGAAACCTTTTTCGACTTTGGCGCAAGGCAAAAAAGCCAGAAGTGGATTTTTTTTCGGAATATTGAACGGAGGCAAACCCCAGACAACCGTATTCATCACTCCCTGGCTAGAGGCTGAGGTGGTGACAATCTTCCTCACACTGTAGGGCTGCAGCCTAGAGCCTGGGGGTCATGGAGTGTGCACGTGGTTGTAGGGCAAAGCACATGGGTCACACTGTGCGAACCGGTTCGGTGTCCTCCTGTCAACTGACCCTGCCACAAGGCTCAATCCAAAATCAGATGCCATTCGGCCGCATGCCTCACCTTTCCTGACCTCGCCCAACGCCATCCAGTCGGCGATGGCCACGACGTTGCTAGCCAGTGTGCAGACGGGTATCGTGCATTGTCCCTGCATCGCCCTTGCATTCTTCTACTGACGACATTGTTGCAGCCGCTGGAGCGCGAACAGTTGAGCGCCGTCGGATGGCTCACCTGGCACCATGAAATATGGCAGAGCATTTCGAACATTCGAACCCTTTCCACATTGGCATTGAGGAGACCTATTTTGCTGGCCTATGGCGAATGCAGACCCTCAATTCTCAGCCACGACTTTGTTAGACACTTGGGGGCTCGTTCGCCCAAACACACAAAGGCGGCCTCCGGTCAAAGGCATATGATCGAGATGAGACATGGGTGCCCGTGTACCAGATCCTCGTGCTCTCGCTCACTATGTCCCTCCACGCACACGTTCTTTCACGGTCTACCTATATCTTGCAGGCTCCAAGAGATAATAATAACAGCCATACTAAGCACTCGAGACGCCTACTTGGATGGCAACCTGCCGGGGGGTGGCTTGAGCTGTTCTTGCATGTGGACGGGCCGGACGCCTCAACTTCACCACATCCCGTCACTCCCGTCCAAACGTCTTCGCTCACCCTGAGCTTCAGGTCCAGCCGCGACGCCTCAGCCACAGATGCAGCACCACTAGGACTTTCCGCGCAGGCCATATTTGCGGCCATATGCTACGATCGCGTGGCACACTTTGTCTTCTTTGAATTCTGCATGTGGCCGTAGTATGAAAGAAGTTGTAGGTAGGGACAGGCGAGGGGGCCAAAATATCTCTTACAAAAGGATGACCCATGCCTGATACACTTGAGCGTGGTCTTTGTCGTGACCACTAGCCTCTCATTAGATATATATCATTCTTTATTCCTTTGATCACCTGTTGTGGCCGAGTGCCTCTCTTTTGTGCACTCCAGCTCATTCTCATTAGCTTTCGCTTCAAAGACAACATCGATAAACCTGCCTGAGTTTAGCTTTCAGTCCGCGCATCATACATTAAGACGGCATTATCCTGCCTTTCATTCAGTTTCCTTTGAGATTCTTTCTTGTCAAGAACCATCATTGCCATTCAAGCTTGTGTTTTACATTGCATCGTTTTGAAGCTCGCCGAAGCGTCCCGTCTTGTCTTGGTCAAAGACGGGATAGCAAAATCGCACACTCAAACAAGCAACCGCCGTCGAGGTGGGTGCCGAACAAAGTCAACCGAAACTCAAAGTTGAAGCCGACACCCGAATGTCTCGACGTATCTACCTCGAAACAACGGCAAGTGGCAAACAGCAATTTGTATCCATCAAACGCTCCCGTTCCCATGGCCACCACCACCATCACCACCACCATGTAGAGCACGACTACTACAAAGTCAGTGTTGAGGAGTGGGACAGTATAAAGGAGCGGGAGCGATGCCTCGAAGACACCAATAGGAGCCTGGCTGCACAGGTTAGTTCTCTGAAAGCCAGTCTAACGGCTGCGCAAGGGGATGCACATCACCTCCGCCACGTCGTCGTGCCACAGCTGCAGAATCAGATCAAAACTCTCGGTTTAGACAACGCGGCCCTTCGAAAGTCTCTGGACAATGCGAGCCGTAACGAAGGAAAGCACTGTCGAGACGCAGAGAGTCTAAGACAGACTATTGATAAACTGGAGAGGGAAAAGAGGGATGTCAAGGACGAAAACTACAGTCTCAAGGACAAGATCAAGCACTTGCAGGACGAAGTCGGGTCCAGCTGCGGGCGACGAGTATCAGACCTCATTCGGGAAGTAGAATATTGGCGGAAGGAATGCCGATACTGGAGAGACATGTACGAGGATACCAAACGCAACCATGACGACATCTGCATTACTTTGGATATCAGAACGGAGAAAATGAGGGCATACGAAGAGATTTTGAAACGTAGGCGGATAATTTGATCCAGCTGTACATTCCATGTTTCCATCTCTCTCTCCCCTCCGTCTCCTGCGTTTCATACTCTTTCAATGATTTGTTACGCTGCTACTTGACACACAACAACTCCAATGAGGCTTTGGGTTGGTACTTGTTCAACCGAGACAATTTGGCTCTGTGCTGACATTCTCCTAAGTTGTAATTCTGATAAACTTCCCACGGATACACGTCAAGGATGGACTCTTTTCTTTTGTCTTCATTGACTTACAGTAGTTCAATCTCCAATACCCTTGAGCGATACGCTCGTACAACTTTGGGCTTCAAGACCCACATGCACTCCTTCTTGATAACATTACATTTTCTTTCTTAGTTAGACCAACCATTTACTAAATACACTTTGTAAACTGTCACCTGTCGCTGCGCACACCCTGTGGTCTTGTGACGTTCCCCAACGGCCCATTGTGTCTTTTTTTGGTTCTGCCAGGCATCAATGAATGTGGGTCGTCTGCAGCACTTCCAAGAGAGGCGTATACAAATAAAACGAACAAAGAGCATTGAAATGTGTAAAAACCAACAGATTCCAGCGCCTGACCTAAAACGACAGTCAAAACTTAAAACCCTGCACCTTGGGAGCGGAGCCTACGCAACATCCCAAAATGGCCACCATGTAAATGCGACCACCACCAAGATTCTGCTACAGGATCCTTTCGTGGACACTTTAGCACAGGGGCCTGCATGAGCAGTGGCAAATGTCAGCAAGCTGTCAAAATCAGACATGACAAACCCCCTATCCTATTAGGTAAGTAATATCGCGTCAGCGTCAATATTGATTCACCAGTATTTTTGGACAAAAAGTGGGTGGGGAGAGAAATGTCGCGCAGGCAGACCGGAAGAGAAACGACAACTTTGGCGCACACAGGGAGGTCATCAGACGCGCGGCTGGTGACGATTACAGATGATGGGAGCTGGGAAAAAAAGTAAATGACGAAGAAGAAGAAGCGCCTGGAGCATCCGCCACGGATGGAGCCGGGCTTCTTTTGGCGTGGCAGGAAATGTACTGTACACGTATGTACTCATACTACAATGTCGCTGTAGTATGGTGATTGCTGGACGTTGATTGATTCGGCTGGTTGCGGAGATGTATGCAGGTACGTCCGTGGAGTGCTGCGGTGGATGAGGTGGCCTTGCGAACGTATGAGGGGAGTATGCACTTGTTGATATATTTTCCCCAATAGCTCTTGGAACACCACACTCTTTTAGAAGAGAAAAGCGGTCGCAATGCAGCATCGTCGACTAAAGGGAATAACCGGCGTGGATTCAAACGGCCTCCGACTGGGGCCACGAAACTCCCGGTCCGCACGGGCTAAACGAGGAAGGAAGGACGGGATGGCCCGCTCGTCTGACGCCGCAGGCGCGCCAGGAGGACCTTCCCACTTGACAGCCAAAGTGAGCGGCCAACGACTTGGCAGCATGGCAGCCTGGCGACATGGGCCTCTCCAACCCGCTATCGATGGTGGAGCTGGCTGGCCAAGAAGAGCCTGCAGTCAGGCAATCGATCGTCTTCACCGTCGTCCTGCACATCACAGGGCATCACGCAAGGCTGCAACACTCACAGGCAGGACAGTGTCCAACGCCAATCAGCCCTATCGAGCGGCCTGTGGTTCGACGCATGCGCCAAATGACGTCCAGCATGATTGGCGTCACTACCGTGAACATGTTCGCTGCTCCACGCCTTGCAAATGCACGACGACTTTGCCCCGAACCCGGGCAAGATATTCATCGACGAGCCGAGGGTGATGGGTGATGGACAGCAATCAAATGCGATCTCGTTCCATCACCACGAGAATCTGTGCACCAAAGCTGTCCACGCCTTTCCATCAACATCCAGCGGTGCGCCTTTTCAGATTCTGCCCCCGGTATGGAACGGTCTCGTCCAGTCAGGATTCCGACGCACGCCGCTTCCCACGGGGCTAGATACATAGATGCCAAGAGAAGGATTGTTTTCCCTTTCTCTTCCCTTCCACGGGCAAGGCAAATGCAGACATCTGTCATGAGCTTGAGCCAGCTTCTGGCCATTACGATAAACGTGAGTCACCGCTGCAAGTGAGGGTTGTTTCCCAGGCCGTTGCGGGCGCGACCCCAGGCTGCAACGGCGAAACATCCACCCCCGACACCATCCGTGGTGTCTCGCAGACAGTCGAGCCGACAAACCCTACACTTGGGTGCATCGAGAACCGAGTCCAACGGCTCGAAGCCTGGGAAGGTGGTGGGTACGCAGCCTGCCCAGGAATGGCTTTGGGCAAACTGCCTGGCGGCCCGCCTTAGCGCCGGCCGGGGTGATCTCAGGGTAGTAGACAATCAGGGTGCACATCAGAGTCAAACCGTCGACAATGACCGAGATGATGGGGGGGAGAGCCATTGTCAAGGAGGGTCGACGAGGGGCATCGCGACAAGGCAACCAACCGCCATACCTGATGGAAGCGGCGACTGTTTTGTCCACACTCAGCCACTCATCTCCAATTGGGTCAAGGTGGGCGTCGTTGCCATGGCCATGGTCCTGTTGAGACGGACGGAGGGTGCTGCTGGTATCACCTTTTTCGACTTTTTTTTCGGACGCCAAGATACGGAGTAGCGTGTACAAAATCAAGAGGGTGGTGGGGCCGGCTCATGGTTGAGTGTAAGTGGGAGTATTGGTCTATCATGACCGGCCAAAAGTCCAATAATCCAGACGTCCAGCCTGGCTCTCAAAGGTACTTCTACTTTGGCGTCAAGCTCACTCACAGCCGAAATCCTTGTGCTTTGAAATCACAGTCCTGCAAGTTTGGGCCAGGTACTTCGTACAGTCAGGTCGGCAAGGTTTGACAAAATTGTCCTTGATGGAGTGGTCTGCTCGTCATGTCGGGTGTGCCATGCCAACGACGCGAAACAAAGCGGCAGCGCATGAACGGGCACACCACTGCACTCCTGTCCCCCCGAGGCTTTCGACAGAGGCTAGCAGCGTTTGCTGCAAGCAAAAAACGTCAAGGGACTGCAGATTTGTTGCCATCCCACTTACGCCCCCCTTCCCCCAAGACGCGCACCGCCCACCTCTAGTCAAGCCTTGAACGGCAATCTGACAGGCTGCCTGCTGGTCTGCCGGAGGAATAAATATACTTCATGTCCTCCTTTTTGAATCACTCTTCTTCCTGCGAAGCCTGGCCTCTACAATACACTCTGGTCGACAGGAGAAGTTTGCCAACTTTGTTGTCACCGGTTGGGCTCCCATTTTTGAATTTGATCATCCTTGGTCGTAACCCAACGGTGGCTCTTCTGATTAACTTACACACAGCGTCATACCACACCTACGCAGTACCAGACCCTTGTCAGCTCCTTTACCGCTGCTCCGGTCCCTGACCTAGTCACTGTCACTGGCGAAAATCCGCACTGGCCAAGCGACTTGCCTTTTTGAGCCGAAACAAAACGAGACGAGAGAAAAAAAAGAAAAAAGAAAGAAATCATAAAAAAACACAAAGGAGCAAGACATCGTGAGAAAATTTCTTCCGATCGAGCGTGATTTACTGGCAACGTCTGCAACTTGCCTGGTACTATCTTCGCGGTTGATCTGCTACGGTCGGCCCCGTCCTAGTGGAGCAGGGTTTATTACTTGCCTGGTTCTTTTTTTTTTCCCTCTTGTGCTGTACCTACAGGCAGAAGAAGCACAAGCTCGAAACCGCGCCCTCATGCGATCGTCTGCGCAACGAGCCTCGGCCAATATTGGCCGCCGGGCTCAGACGACGAGTGGCGCTGGGGTGCAGCCGGGTCCGATTCCAGCACGGCGCCAAGTTTCCGTGCTCTCGCCAACTGATGATAATGTTGCACGCGCAGGTCGCGAATACGACGACACTGCTCGCGACACCGCATTTAATACCGAATTGAACAAAGTCAACTCTGAATGCGACCGATACAAGGCACGGCTAGAGCAGGTTAGCAAAAAGCTGCTCGAGACACAGCAACAGAAGGACGAGTTGAAGGAGCAAAGGGATGAGTTGAAGCAGCAAAGGGACTCGTATAAGTCGCAGCTTCAGATTGTTAAGAAAGAAAACGCTTCTTTACTCAACAGCCTCGAGGATTACCGGAGCGCGAACCTTGATCTCGCGGCCAAGTATGAAGAAATTTTGAGGCAACACCAAGATTTGGAAGAACGGTACAACACGCAGGCTACCTCTAGCGGCGCCGGCTCTACTGGTTCTCACTCTGCATCAAGCGCACTCCCAGACCGAACAAGGGCATCCTACAGGCCAAGCGGAAAGGACCATCACGAGGATTGTGGCTACCAGGGCAGGAGTCGAGAGGGGTCCAGGGAGGCCAAGGAATCTCAAGAGCCCAGAGCGTACAGCGAGTACATGAACCAGAAGATGGAGTTCCAGGCGGCAGAAAAAGAACGACTCAAGGGAAGGTTCGAAGACAAGTCGTCAACGGCGTCTTCGTCCGTAAAGACGCGCAGATCAAGCTTCATTGAGCCCTGGGGGCCAGGACCCGGACCGGAGCAGCCAGTTGTGCCCCCAAGCCGCATGCCGCCAGGCCTGGTGCCAGCCATGTTACCGGCGTTCAACGGCGTGCCATACTCTACGGTACCGCGCACACACGCACACATGTACAATCCAGACACAGCAGCGCTATACGGGGCAGATGGTGAATATGAGACTGGTTGCAAGTACCAGCCGTACCCAGTGACCAGGTAGTTGGAAAGAAGGGGTTATGTGCATCAAATCGCACGCCACACGCCATCCCGAAGGCCTTGCGGACCCGGGAATATTTTTTGGGGGGTGGGAGGAGGGGTGTTGGCGGGAGTGTGGGTGCCAAAAAAAAAAAAAAAAAAATTAAGGGTCTGGTCTGGTCGAGTCCAGAAAAAAAAAAGTTGTCGCGGTGTGGCAGAGCCATGCATCGGCTGTGGCTCGTTTTGTCATAAGGGGTCTTGGTAGCTCAAAAGCTTTGCCAGGACGACGACGTCGTGTCACATTTTCTCACATTGACAGACCCCGCACTG